GGGTTACGGCACCTTGGTTGTATCTTTGTTAAAATGAAGCTATTACTGTGTTTACTTAAAGCTGCATTATATAGGATTATTGTTACTCAAAAAAATGGATTGAACACACCGATGGTACAAAGCCACTGCCATAATCCGATCTGTTTCGAGAACATTCAAATTAAGCTAAAAAACTATCGGTTTTCTGAGACGCTAGACCAGCAGCACGTTCAATATAGACAACCAGAGCTGGTCGTCCATTGGTGAACTGCCGGCTCAAGGTCGATACATTAGGTCAGTGGGCCTAATAAATCATTTTAGGGCAGCTGCTCAAACTGCAAACATTTTCCTGTACTTTACCCATCCACCACCTTACTGTTCGTCGCAGGCTAAAGGAATTCCGGATCGTGGCGAGAATGTGTGCTCACAACTGGGTTTACAGCCAAGACACCATACGGATACACCGTCATCTTCTCGGACGAGCCTCGGTTCTAACTTGAACACAACGATTGGAGATGGAGAATAAAAGTATACAGGAGACTACATGAGAACCGCCTGCCATTTCTTCAACAACGCTCTCAGTCTATGACATTCTAACAGGACAATGCGTCCATGCACACTGCGCTCTTCCCCCAAGTATATCGAGAATAAAGTCACTGTAATGGAACCACGGCCTGCCCTACCACGGAATCCCACCGAGTTTCTATTGGACAGGAGTGACCAAGTTGTTCGTGATATACATCTCGGTCCCAGAATCGTTTATTGCTGCAGCAAGCGCTTACCAATGCCTGGAACAAAATTTTACCCGACTGACATTTGCAGATTTGTGCACTCTATACGCACGAGATGCACTGCACTGCATGCCAAGAGAGATCACACAGCGTACCGATGGGTTTTAACCCTGTTGTCAGATTTCCATCATAAAGGAGACATTGTAGCTTGAAAATAACTTTTCATCTTGATTTTTCAGTCAAATGCTTCCCCTCCTTCTTAGTTACTAAAGTAATTTGTCGCTATACTGGGCGAAATAATTTTTGTTCGAACTATTTATTGCGAAGTAATTTTCTGCTCTTTGAGAGGGGGGGGGGATACTTTTCCCCATAATTTTAAATTGTATTGGAAATAATTGATTTGTAACAGTATAAGTGACCAAAAGTGTGATCTCCCAATCGTTCCTGTTAACTCGCTGGGGATGTGAATCCTGGTCATACGACAAAGTCGGAGGACTGGCTGCTTTACGACACTTTTTTAAAAAAGCATTATTTTTTGTTCTTTCGATCTTTTTAAAAAATTCTGTTTTATCTGAAACTTAAAACGGCAGACAACAACATGCTTGCCAGGTAATATGTAAGTTTGGTGGTTTGATTTGTATATGATAGCACGAAATGTGCTGCAACATTGTCCGTCTTTGGTCCGCAAATCGTACATTTCTGCCCACTCCGATGGTCGACCCGAAAGTTTTGGGATTTATCATCTAACGGCTAAGATATTGACCTCAGTCATATAAACTGTCTATAACATGTCTGCTCTCGAACCAACCAGATGAGTTTCATGTAACCTCAGTCTTGGCTATTTTATGATGTCACAAACAAAGGTTGGTTTGCGTTGTGGAGGAAACAACACGAAGTTCTTGAAAGAAAATATATCTCAATGTTTCATCTTTATATACAGTGGAAGGTAAAGAAATCAAATGAGGTAGTGCTTGGTGAAGCCCACATGGGACGCTCACTGTTAAAAACAATCAGGAAACGACAAATGCAGTTTTTGGCACACCTGAAAAAAGGTCTCGAACATCTAGCTCTCACCGTCAAAATTAAAGGCAAACGAGGTTGGGGCAGACCTGCTTTGGGAACTTAAACAAATGGGTATCGGGGCAAGATCAGGATAACGTAGCTTTTTTAAGAGCATCCGAGCAAAGGAATGAATGGAGAACCATGATCACAGATGTCTGTAACAGATTTGGCATTGATTGATGATGATTATGGTACAGTGGAAATTTGGCGATTCCCCAAAACGAATTCATGTAAACGAGCAAAGTGTTTGACACTGCTTTTGTTAACCCACATTTTGGCCACCCAAATTATTATGTGAATGAGAAAGTTGATATTGTCTGGCGCCATATTGGGCAAGACCTCATTTTCTCTATTTAAAAACGTTGTGACATGTCTTGACTTTTGTTTGGGTCGGTACAAATTATTATTCCGGGAGAACTATAAATAAAGAGGTGTGCTCTTTGAATACCCCATTTATTTATTGAGGAACATAAAGGATACAGGGTAAAATGTGCCACGGAATTTCTCAACACGTTTGAACCCTATGGGCTTTGGCGATTTACAAAATCTTTTCTTATCAGAGGAAACATCAATTCTTTTTTTTTGTTTTTTTTTGAGTTCCATCAAAAGGGCTGAGTCACATGAGGACAGATGAAACAAAGAGACATCTTTTGTATTCTAGGACTTCAGAGCAGAAATAGGCTTTTTACTGTCTTTTTCGATTACGGTGGTCCTCAAGTGGTTGGTATTATGCTATATAATACTAGTAAGTGTACAATGTACTGTCCCATGTTGTTGTTTTTTATGTTGATGAGCAGAGACCAAACATCGGATTCTTTTACACTAGACTAGTACTATGCTCTTCCGTGACAATGCAGTTACTAACAAAGCGAAGGCCACAACTGTGGATGAGCAGAGACCAAACATGGTTTTTGGTGCTGGGGGGAACTGAGCACTTATGGACCTGTCCACAGTGCAATGACGTTGTTGCCCAGGACAGGTAATACAGGACAAAAGTTTGAACGCATTCGGGAACTAGCATGGGTTGCAAATTCAGACTGAGAACTGTACCGGAAGATTGGTTATCTTCTTGCTTACCAGAAGTGACTGTAGAGGCAGAAACCGTGCGTACAAGTTCGAAAAGAATATATTTCACAACTGCTATTTATTTTTTAACCACACTTGTATTTTCTTAAAAGGTGTTACTGTCGCAATATACTTTTGGGGTGTTAATGTAAATTCTTGGATTTATATTTACAAAGAGGCCCTCTTTTACAACGTTGATCACATCTTATATTTTACACTATGTTAAACAACTCCAAATCCTACATTGTCAAAAACATTTGTTTGCTGGTGGAATTCAAAATATTGTGTCAAATGACGCATTAATAGTCACAAAAGAGTACAATTAAATCTCCGTTTACTTAAATAAGTTCACATCAATCTAAATATTATGAGATTCATGTTCCCCCTTTTGTGCCTTTAGACTACTGCTATGAGAATAAGGACTACTTCTACAAAGACGATACCCTGGATGTCAGAAGCTGCCCTGGTGTGTACAATATCTGCTTTGAGGAGAGGAAGACCACGGCTAAAGCCACAACCACTGTCATTCCCGGTAAGGCATCTTGTGTGTGCACACGTGCACGCACGCTCTGTGTGTGTGCATGTGTGTGAATGTACGTATGTACGTACGTATGTATGTATGTATGTATGTATGTATGTATGTATGTATGTA